AAAGACTACGAGATGGATGCAAACGCAAGTGCTGTTTGTTTCCACAATGGCCTACACTGTTACTCGTACTGGTAGGATTGTTGCCAGGCAAGAAAATCCTAAAGGGTCCACATGATTCCCCCTTCTTCACACAACACGGTCGTACCAATGAGAATAAAGACTTTGCAATTCATGCTAGAAGACCGACCAGAAGAATATAAAGCTGTGTAGTGTATTATAATATTATAAATAGTAGAACAAGTTTACAGGATACAGGATAGCCAATTAAAGTAGATCGTAACGGAAATGGGTCCGATTGAGATGGCCTGCAAGAATCCGATGATTCCCGGCCTCCATCTCACTTATTCTTATTTACATAATCCTTCATTGCGGTTGCTTCCTCGTCAGTCAGCTTACAATGGGAATGCTTATGTTCACAGTTCTCCTTGCATTCGCCCTTTGTGTGCCAAATGAGGCACAGTTCCTTTCCGTTTGCGTGCTTTGGAGGCTGTTCGCCTGTCCGTTTGATTTACTCAGTAGTAGTTCTTCCGGTGTAGCGATGTTCTTCGTTCATGTCAGGATTTTTTACTGATTCGCCCAGGCTCTTCTTCTGGGCCCTTTCCTTCTCTCTCTTCAGCTGACTCTCAGTCTTGTCTCCTGTTCCACCAAGTCCTACAGAGTCCTTGGCGATGACAAACAAGTTTGACTCTGGTAGGCTTCCTCCATGGTAGCATGTCTCCATGTAGGTGCCCAAGTCCGGTAGGTTTTCTTCTGCGTTTGTGCCGGATCTTACCAAGCCCTCAAAGTAACGATCAATTCGGGAATAAATTCCGAAGAGAAATCGCTCGAGTGCTCGCTCCTGTTGGGACACTCCCATTTTTCGTGCATCGAATCCACATTCTTTGCAAACTTTTTGTACACGGCTGTCAGTGGATGAGTTTTCCCAAACACTACACGGTAGAATACCCGCATACTATTGACCATCTCACGGAACTGCATGGGATCCTTTGGGAAGATAGCGTGCTTGATCTTGTCGTGGGCTTGATGATCCTTCATTGAAGCGGTCGTCTTTTCGCCCGTCAACCAATAATCGCTCTTGTTGTAATCGTTGATCGCGTTTGCATTTTTGTAGTGCTGGAAACAGACACTATTAAACACGTTCAAACCCTTTTCAACGTCGCCGCGCGAACAAAATTCCAATTCCACCAGGCTCTTGATTACTCGGGCTGAAACGATGAATTCCAGATTGAGGTTCAGCTTCTCGGCCTCATCGTCCAGCAGGGACTGCACAATTCCAATTGATTCGTGCTTCTTACACTTTGCTAGCTCATGCCAGAGGGTGGGAAGCTGAGCTGAGGTCGTAGTACCAGCAGCTCTCTTCAGATAGGAGAGTCTTGTGGGCCACTTCTTTTCCACTGTATTTGGTGGCGCCTTGTCCGATGCTTGTCCATGGATGCCCGCTACCACTACCTCCAAAAGTGATCCACGGAGGTCTTGGTCGTCTTATTACTCTCCTCAACGGCTGCCAAGGTCTTGGTGAGCAGTTCGTAGGTCTTGTCAGGAGAATCTCCAATTGAGTCCTCCGAGTCCAATCCGGCGAAATCCAGAAACCCAACATCGGGCAGATGTCGCAGTGAGAACAGCAGGTTCTCCGACGTTCTTCGAAAGCTGATCTCTCCTGATGACCGTGTTCGCCACGCGCCAATGGTCCACAAAGTGCCGGAACTTTTCATGCACTTCAAAATTTTTTTCAGGCTCCTCGCTGTTGGCGAGAATCTTGATTCTGTCAATCACCAATCGCAAGACTTCGCGTGCCGACGATCCGTCCCAAGCGATATCCAAGAACTCCTTGGGAATGGGCATTCGCTTGCG